CGATCCTGTTGCCGGTCCCGGTCCGGTACGGGCGCAACACTGAGGGTTGCGATCCGTTGCCGGTCACGAAAAAAGACAAAAAAAGGAAAAAAATAATAATAATAATAATAATAATAATACTAGGGGAAACTCTGTGCATGGGGGTGGGAGGAGGCATATGGNGGATCCCATGTGGAGACCGGTTCCCGCTCACTGGCTGAGCGCGGTGCGGGCGCAGCACCGAGGGTTGCGATCCCGTTGCCGGTCCCCGGTACGGGCGCGACACTGAGGGTTGCGATCCCGTTACTGGTCAGTAAAAAAGACAAAAAGGAAAAAAAAAATCAAATGGACATATGTAAAGGTTTATTCCTGTATTCTGAATTTTATTCTATCCATATATATGTCTTTCCCTTTGCCACTACCACACTGTCTTGATTACTATAGTATTATAGGAAAATATGAAATCAGTAAATGTGAGTCCACTAGCTTTGTTCTTTTTCAAGATTGTTTTGATTACCCTGAGTCCCTTAAAGTTTCATGAGAATTTTAGGATCAGCTTGTCAGTTGCTGCAAAGAAGCTAGCTGGGCTTTTGATAGGGATTGCGTTGCATTGCATTGCATGTATAGATCTGGGGTGTAATGCCATCTTGACAATATTAAGTCTACTTCATGAATATGGAATGTCTTTCCATTTATTTAGATTTTAATGTTGTTCAACAATGATTGTAGTTTTCAGTGTACAAACCTTGCATTTATTGTTAAGTTTATTCCTAAGTATTTTTTCTTTCAGATACTACTGTAATTGTTATTGTTTCTTAATTTCATTTTCATGTTGTTCAGTATTAATGTATTAAAATACAATTAGTTTTTTTGTATTGATCTTGTATCCTGCAGCTTGGCTGAAATTGTTTATTAATTTTAATACTTCTTTACTGGGTTCCTTAAACTTTTCTGTATACAAGACCATGTCATCTGCAAATAGAGAAGATAATTTTACTTCTTTCTTCCCAATCTGGATGCATTTTATTTCTTTTCCTTGCCTAATAGAATCTTCAGTACAATGATGAATAGAAGTGACAAGAGCATACGTTGTTGTCCTGTTCCTGAACTTAAGGGGAAAGACTTCATTCAGTATTTCACTGGTAAGTATGATGTTAGTTGTGAGTTTTTCATAGATACCCTTTATGAGGTTGAAGAAGCTCCTTTTTATTCCTAGTTTGAGTGGTTTTTTTTGTTTGTTTGTTTGTTTTAATCATGAAGAGCTGTTGAATTTCATCTAATAAATTTTCTGCATCTATTGAGATGATCATGTGATTTTTGTTCTATTATATTGAAATTATATATTATATTAATTGATTTTTATATGTTAAACCAACCTTGAATTCATGTGATAAATTTCACTTGGTCATGGAGTATAATCATCTCTCAATAAATTGTGGAAATTGGATTGCTAGTATTCTGTTGAAGATTTCTGCCTCTGTATTCATAAGGAATATTAATCTGTAGTTTTCCTGCAATGTATTTGTCTGGTTTTGATATCAGGGACCCATAAAATGAGTTGGGAGTGTTCTTTATTCTACATTTTGGAAGAGTCCATGAAAAATTTTTATTAATTCTTTAAACATTTGGTAGAATTTGCAATTGAAACCATCTGGACCTGGTATTTTCTTTATGGGAAGTTTTTTGATTACTAACTCAATGTTTTTTACTAATTATAGATCTATTTAGGTATTTTATTTCTTATGGTGTCAATTTTGACATTTGTCCATTTCATCTTAGTTATCTGATTTGTCAGCATTCAGTTCATAGTATTCTCTTATTATTTTTTTTATTTCTGTAAAGTTGGTATTGATATTCCCTCTTTCATTTTTTATTTTAGTAACTTGAGTCCTTTTTTTTTTTCTTGGTCAGTCTAGAAATTTGGTTGATCTTTTCAAAGGATCAATTTTTTGTTTTATTGATTTTTCTCTATTGCTTTCTCTGTTTTGTTTGTTTTTGCCCTAATCTTTCTTATTTACCTCCTTCTGCTTTCTTTGGGTTTTGTTTGCTCTCCTTTTTCCATTTCTTAAATGGAAGTTTAGATTTACTGATTTGAGATCTTTTTTCTTTTTTAATATAGATGTTTATAACTATACATTTCCCTCTATGAACTTTTCTCACTGCGTCTCATAAATTTTTATGTTATATTTTCATTTTCATTCATCTCCAAGTACTTTTAAATTTCCCATGTGATTTCTTCTTTGACCATTGGTTATTTAGGAATTGTTTAATTTCAACATTTTTATAAATTTCCCAGCTTTCCTTCTCTCTTTTTTTTTTTGTCTTTTTTTCGTGACCGGTAAGGGGATCGCAACCCTTGGTGCAGTGTCGCCCGAAACCGCACTCAGCCAGTGAGCACACCGGCCATTCCTATATAGGATCCGAACCCGCGGCGGGGTCGTCACTGTGCTCCCAGCGCCGCACTCTCCCGAGTGCGCCACGGGGCCAGCCCCTCAGATTTCCTTCTCTTATTGATTCTAATTTTGTTCCATTAAGTTATAGAACAAACTTTTTGTGATATCAGTTTTTAAAATTTTACTGAGGCTAATTTTATGGTCTAGGATATGACCTGTCCTGGCAGATATTTCATGTGCTCTTGAAAAGGATGTGTATTCTGTTGTCGAGTGTTCTCTGTGAGAGGTCTGTAGCTCTAATTGGTTTATAGTGTTGTTCAATCTTCTGTTTCCTTGTTGATCTCTGCCTAGTTGTTCTATCCATTATTTAAAAAGTCTTCAACTATTTTTGTTAAATTGTCTATTTCTCCCTTTAATGTTGTCAGTTTCTACTTCATGTATTTTGGCACTCTGTCATTTGGTACATGTAGATTTATAATGGCATTATTAGTAATGGATTTAAAAAATTATTATAAAGTATCTTTTTTTATCTTAAAGTAAACTTTTTTTTTTTTTCCTTTTTGTCTTTTTTCATGACCGGTAATGGGATCGCAACCCTCGGTGNGGTACATGTAGATTTATAATGGCATTATTAGTAATGGATTTAAAAAATTATTATAAAGTATGTTTTTTTATCTTAAAGTAAACTTTTTTTTTTTTCCTTTTTGTCTTTTTTCGTGACCGGTAATGGGATCGCAACCCTCGGTGTCGCGCCCGCACCGCGCTCAACCAGTGAGCGGACCGGTCTCTATATGGGATCCGAACCCTCGGCGGGAGCGCCACCACGCTCCCAAGCGCCGCACTCTACCGAGTGCGCCACCAGGCCGGCCCAAAGTAAACATTTTTTTATCTTAAAGTCTGTGTAGCCATTTTAGTTCACTCTTGGGTATTGTTTATATAGTATAGCTTTTTCCATTCTTTTACTTCCAACCTATTTTTGTCTTTGAATCTAAAATATGTCTCTTGTAGGCAATATATAGTTGGATCTTGTTTTTAAAAAATCCATTCTGCCAATCTCTGCCTTTTGATTGGAGTGCCATTTACATTTAATGTGATTATTAAGATAGGATTTACATCTGCCATTTTGCTATTTTTTTAATACCTTTTGTTCCTTTGTTCCTCCAGTATTGCCTCTTCTGTTGTAAATATATATTTTCTAGTATATGTATTTAATTCTTTAGTTCAGATTTTTACCAGTTTCATTTCAGTGATATATAAAAACTTTTCTCCAATATAGCTCTAAACCCTCCCCCTTCCTATTTTTGTCATAAAAACTATATCTTTATACATCAATACAGATTTATAATTTTGCTTTTTTGCAGCTGTTTTTAAAATCAGAATATAAGAAAAGAGTTACAAACAAAAATACATTTATACTATCTTTATTACTTACCCATGTGGTTATGTTTACTCTTTATTTCTTCAATTGTAAGTTATTGTCTATTGTCCTTCTATTTCAGCCTGAAGAACTCCCTTTAGTATTTCTTGTACATTCACACGTGATGAATTCTCTCAGTTTTGTTTGTTTGGTAATATCTTAATTTCTCCTTTGATTTTGAAGGATAGTGTTGCTGGTTATAGAATACTTGGCTGACAGTCTTATTTTGTTAGCACTTTGAGTATATTGTCACTCTGCCTTTTGATTTCCATGAGTTTTGATGAGAAGTCAGCTGTAAATCTTATTTAGTAGCCCTTGTAAGTGGTGAGTCATTTTTATCTTGCTATTTTCAAGATGCTCGCTCTCGCTCTCTCTTTTTTTTTTTCTTTTGGCTTTTGACAGTTTAACCATTATAGATCTAGGTCTAGATTTCTTTGAATTTAATCTACTTGGAGTTCACTGGGTTTCTTTGATGTGCAGATTAGTGTTTCTCGTCAAATTTGGGAGGATTTTTGTCATTACTTCTTCAAACATTCTGTCCTTATTTTCTTATTCCACTTGTTCCAGGACCCCTATCATGTACATTTGATACATTTGGTTCTGACTAACAGGTCTCTGAAGCTCAGCTTATTTTTCTTCAGTCTATTTTCATTCTGTTCTCAAACTGGCTAATCCCAATTGATCTATCTTTATTTTCACTGATTCTTTATTCTGCCAATTCAGATCTGCTGTTGAGCCCCTCTAGTGAGTTTTTTCATTTAGGTTATTGTACTTTCAACTTTTCAGAATTCCTATTTGGTTCTCATTTATGATTTCTCTTGATTGATATTCTCTATTTGGTGAGACATAGTTTTCATACTTTAAGAAAATTCTTTAGACATGGTTTCCTTTGGTTCTTTGAACATATTTATAGCAGCTGATTTACAATCTCTGCCTATTAGGTCTAATGTCTGGGCTTTCTCAGGGATAGTTTCTAGTGATTGCTTTTTTCTTATATTTGGACTGTACTTTCTTGTATCTTTGCATGTCTCATAATTCTTTTGTTGAAAACTGAACATTTGAAATAATATAATATGGCAACTCTGGAAATCAGATTTACTCACCCTTCCCCAGGGTTGTTTGTTGTTGTCATTCATTTGTTTACTGACTTTTCTGAACTAATTCTTAAAAGCCTGTATTCTTTGTTGTGTGCAGCCTCTAAAGTATTGCCTCAGTTAACTTAGCGGCAGCTCATGATTAGACAGAGAATTCCTTAAATGCCCTGAACCAGTAAGATTCCCAGCCTTTGCCTCGGTGCTCTGTGTGTGTGTTGGGGCATACATACCTTTAATGCTCTGGCACACAGTTTACAACTCTACTTTACTCTTACCTTCCTGCTTTTGTAAAGCCTAAGGTAAGCCAGAGATTAAGAGATTAAGGCCTTCTTCGGTGTTTCCTGAGCAGGCACACAGTTCTGCCCATGCACATGGCCTTCTAGATTCCCAAGAATATGTTGGACCCTTTCAAAGACCTCTGTGGACATCTCATTCCCCAGTTTTTTCTTTTAAGTTTTTTCGTCAACCTCATGTTAGCCCTAAGGTAGCTGCAATATTTAACAATTACCACTGATGGTTTTTGACAAATGCCTGAGGTTCTCACAGAGTAAGCTCTGAGTCAAATCAAATAAAGTCAAGTGGAGACGAAAATGGCGGCGGGTCTGGAGCGCCCACGTCAGGAAACAGCGCGACCCTGAGAGCTGTGTGCTGTGATACCAGAGTATTGACTGCATTTACAACTCCCTGGAACGGGGCTTCTGGAGAACTCCAGACCCTTTGTGTTTTCTCCAGTGGCTGCTAAGCTACTGGTTTTCACAGTTTCTGTGGCTGCAAAGTTGTCAGTTTCTGAGGCTACTGTAGAGCTAAGGAGTTGAAGTTCCACAAAGGTCACTGTTCTCACTGAGATTCAACTGTTTTTCTTGAGTAAACATGCCTTAGATTGTTGTAAGCCTTTAGTTACCTTCCAGTTTAAATAGTTCCGGCTGGTGTTCTCAATCTTTCCTCGCTTTTCTGTCTCCCTTTTGCTCTTCTTACTCTCCCCCATCTTGTTGTTGTTCTTCCTAAATTCTCTGTCCCTTTGCCTTATTTTCTTCAAGCTCCAGAAGGTGAGCAGAGAAAGGACTTAGGGAAGGAAAATGATAGTGCTGATAGGGTCAGAAGGATCGTCCCAGAGAAGCAATAGCTCCAGCTACTCCTCAGAATGTAGTTTCTCCTCTGCAGAAAGGAGACCAAGGAGGGTGGTGGGGTGGAAAGCTAGAGGACTGGGAGAGGAAATGACATGTGTGGCCACGGGGTTTGCCAAGAGAAGCCTGCAGCCTGCTAGGGGCATTCCATTGGTGACAGAGATCCTCCAACCATCTTCCTCCAGTTTTCTGCATGGAGAAGAAAACCGATCAAAGGCTTCCTCGGCTTCTGCTCCCCACTGTGTTGTCTGCCCTCCAGCCAGGTCTGTCTCTGCACTGCCCCCCACTCTAGATGAGTGTGACTTACTTGGTCCCTTTACTTATGCTGTCCACATGCTCGAGATGCCTTCGCTTCCCCTTCTTCTTGAACATTTCCCTTCTACCAGCCAAGTTGGCCACTTTGTCTCTAAAACTCTCCTTTCTTTGAG